CTTTAAGCTGCTGGGTCTGGGACTTAAACTGAGGTGCACTACATAGGATTCCAGTGATGTACCCGTTATGCCATCTGTTGTTCCCCAGTCTCCACCTCTTAACCCTATTGCAGATAAAGTTTGCCTTAAATAGCTCATAATACAATCAAATTCTAACACAGAAAGTTTTGAAGAATATGTGCAAACTGTAACAAATGGCATATAAGTATACAGAGATAGAGAGATGAAGGGACATCTGGAATTCAAGTAGTGTGTGCCAGTCCTTCAAGGGAAAAGCATGGACTGATGTGTGAAAGCCCATCTTGGGGCAGAGCAATGGGAAGGGACAAAAGACAGGCAGTTGGCATTAGAGGAGTTGGCTCCAGATATTAAGACCCTAGGCATTGTGTGGCCAATCATATAATAGACTAGAGAAACTGGCAGGAGACCCAATTAATTCATGGACTATAGTGCAGATGCAGGCATCCCTCCGAGAACAAGGGAGTTGTAGTTATTATTTACATATTTTAATAAATTTTGAAAGAGAATATAATATGATAGACTAGCGCTTGGACTGTTGAGGAATTTCATTTGATCATTAGTCTTTAAGTTCATCTTAACTGATTTTTCTTACTATCCTGGCAAGAGATGGAGAGCTTTAATGGTAGGTTATATTTTGTGGTGGTTAGGGACATTTGAGATGTCAAATATTGTTATGACTCTTTATCCACCAGAGTGTCTTAGATAAATACACTGTGTAATGAACTGAATGTTTATGTCTCCCCAACCTAGCCCAAAATTCGTAGGTTGAAATCCAAACCCTCAAGGTGATAATACTGGAAAGTTGATACTTTAAGAGGTGGCTAGATGGGGTAGAGTCCTCTTGAATGGGACTTGTACCCTCCTGAAATAGATCCCAGAATGATTCTTCTGACTTCTTTCATGTGAGATTTCAGTGAGAAGATAGTCATGTTGAACAAGAGGGCCCTTATCATATACTGAATCTTCTTTTGCCTTGTTCTTAGACTTCCCAGACTCCAAATATGTATGAAATATATTCCTGTCATTTATAAATCACTCCATCTTTGGTATTTTGCTTTAGTATTTCAAGTAGACTAACACATTAACTATTTTCTGTTCCTCATTTGAAAGTTTGAAAATAGTTCTTTTTTTTTTGGAGAGGTTTTTTCGCTATAGGGTGCGTGTGCTCGCTAGACAGACAGAGACAGACAGAGAGACAGAAAGCGACAAATCACCCCCCGGGGGGATGGGCACACCGCAATCCCTTCTCCTCCATTCTCCTCTCTCCTCTCGGGATCTTGGGCATGCACACACACGTGCCCGGTGTGAGTTTTAAGCCACTGGGTCCAGGACGCGAACCGCGGTCAACTACATGGGAGTCCAGCGACATAGCCATTATGCTAACTGCTGGTTCCCAAAGTTTGAAAATAGTTCTACTACTGTGAGAAGTACTACCCAGAGACCTGGGTCTCATATTCCAAGATTTGGGAGTGGCTTGAACTGACAGAGAGGCTGGGTAGAACAAGGAGGCTTGATTGAGTTCCATGTGAGTCTTGGTCATAGGTAGTGAGTTTTGTCAGATTAAGAAATAAAAATTTTCATATACAGTTAAATTTGAATCACTTCTAATATTCTTTGCACTGGGATAGAACTTTAAAGAATGGTTCAATTTTTCTTGAACACAGGATGGATGATGGAGAGAAGTGAAAGTCTGTTATAGATGAGGCTGAAGACTTACATAGTATCTAGATCTTGGACTAATTGACAGGTCATTTTTTTTGCATTTTGGAAATTATTCCAAAAGTAGAAAGGTACTTCTGAAGAACTATTTCTTTTCATAATGGGAATATAGCAGGAAGTTAATAGGATATAAATTAATATGGTTTGTGAATGAATTTTTTATTTTTAGTTTTCTGTAGGGTGTGTAATTTATTGTAGAGCTGAGAGAGACAGAAAGAGAAGGAAAGCAAAAAAGCATCTCCCTGGGGGGATGTTCATGCTGTAAAAGTAAAATCCCTCCTCTCTATTTCCTCCTGGGATTCTGAGTACACACACATATCCAACATATTTTTCAAGCTGCCAGATTTTATCTCAAGCCTCCTAGTTGATCTTGTAGGAGCCAGCCACTCTAAGCACTACACCATTGTCTGACTGGAAAAAAAAAATTTTTTTTTACTTGTTACATTTAGATGAGATGCCAACATAAAACACCAAGGAAAGAAAGCTGGAATGAAGCTATACATTTGGAATTATCAGGTGTTTTTTGTTTGTTTGTTTGTTTTCTTTTGTGGGTGATATATTGAAATAATGAGTAGATGAGAGATGAGATTATTTAATACTGAAAATTTAGGTTGTGGTTAATTTGTGGAAGGAGATATATAACAGACGTCAGGGCTTTTGCATTTTATTGGGAAAACCAAAGTAAGTTTTAGTTAGTAATGTTAAAGACCATAAATTAGGAAGATTAATCTGGAAGAAGTAGCAGGGTGTTTAGAGTTAGAAGTTCAGAGGCTATAAAACCACTCAGAACATTCTTGTAACCTTTATGCTAAAAAATGAAAAGAGCTAGAATACAGATAGTAGTAGATAAGAAAGGTTAAGGGATGATTGTTAGAGTCACAAATATCTGAATATAAGGGTAATTAATTTTTTTTTTGGGATAGGGTTTTGCTATAGGGCATGTGCACTCACCAGAAAGACAGAGAGAGACTGAGAGACAGAAAGCAAGAAATCACACCCCCCCCCAGGGGGTATGGCCATGCTACAATCCCTTCTCCATTCTCCTCTCGGGATCTTGGACACACATGCACATGCACATGCCCGGCATTAGTTTAAGCCACTGAAGTCAGTGGGTCCGGGACTCGAACTGCTGTCAACTACATGGGAGTCCACCGACATAGCCATTGCACCAACTGCTGGTCCCAAGGCTAATTAATTTTAAACACTAATGTTCAGGCTGACCGGTGGCATGGTGGTTAAGGGTGCTATACTCCTACATAGCCATGGTTCGAGTCCTGTATCTGGAGGCTTGCTTTCTCACTTTTCCTCTCTCTCTCTCTCTCCTTCTCACTCTGTACCTCTCTAGTCAAAATAAAAGTGAATAAATACATAAATAAATAAATAAAATAAAGTATATATTTTTAAAACCCTAATGTTCATATTGTTTACCGTTATCTAGGCGAGTGTAGGCACTTGTATAGTTGAGTAACTGAATGAGTAAAACAATCTAGCTCTGCTAATAGAACTACGAACAATGACTTTAAAATATAAACTCTAACTCTGGTTCTAAAAATAAACTCAAGTGATATTGTTTCAAAGAGTACAACTAAGAATAAAAAGTAGAAAATATTCATATAAATGAAGAGATTTTTAGCTTCATGTAAGAAATTTCTGATACTCACAACTAGATTTCCTCAGGAGGTGGTAGGCTCTCTATTATTAGAGGTGAATGAAAGTATAGAAAACAGCTTGCTCTGAATATTTCTGAGGATATGCAAGCATTGGGACATGAACCAGATGGTTAGAAACTTCTCTTACTTGAAAAAGAATAATATATACATCATATCCAACCTTAGAATTCAACAAAATAATTGTGCAATCTGACAAATAATTGAAATTAAGATGATTATTTTTGGTGGGAATATGCTTTGGTTGGTAATGAAAAGGCAGTGTTTTGGTTGATAGTATGTTCTGGGTATTTGTCTGAAAGGATTTAATTTACCACTTCACATTTTATTGGATTGGTAGAGATGATGCAAGCATCTTTCTTTACTATTCCTGAAGTGCATAACACATACATGAAATAAGATGTTGGACTCCAGTATGTCTAAATGACTGATATGATGAGGAGCCATAGCTTTTAAAAATACATGAATTTCATTTCTGTAGTTCTAAGAGTAGAAGCTGCCATCTGTTTTTGGGGTAGACTCATTTTTTTGTGTTTGGAAGCACGATGATAAGGAATGCTTTTGATTATAATCCTATATTTTGATTGGATTAACTTTGTTGCTTATAGAAGAAGAAAACTAATAGATCTTCCTCTGGTAACTGGCCAGTGGCTAAAGAGGGAAATAGCTTAAGAGGCCTTTGTGAAGAAGCATGTCTAGTACATACTAGCAGCAGTGATATTCAATAAAAAGGCTTTTCTTTACTGCTATGACTTTATCTTATTCTCAGGCTCAGCAGTCTGTTAACCATGATAGCTTTTTAGAGGTGTATGTTTGTGTGTGTGTTTAAAGGTACTCATGGATACTGTTAAACTAAACTATTTTGGCCTGAAACGGTAGCTGTATTCTCACAATTGGATTCCTATGGACAAACCAAAATTACTCATTAGTCTGTTTCCTAAGCGAGTTGCCAATTTACAGCCAGTCACAGTCACACTTCAGTCAACCACAGAAAGCTTACCTTTTACACTGTTCATACATTCTGTGGAACCGAGCCAGTTATTTCTCTACTTTATTCTCTTATGTTTGTTTTTGTACAATAGGATGGCATTCATTTTTATTGAGCAGAATTGTGTTTCATGATTACAACAGATCCAGCCATATCAAGTGAAATATGGACTTATGAGAGACTGATGATGTCTTAAAATGAAAAGATGCAGTCTTTTACCATAAGAAATGCTGGGCAGATGAAATTATACAGACACACACACACACACACAAAGAAGAGACTGAGAAAGAAGAAGAGAAGAGAGTTGAAAGAGAGAGAAGAAAAAGGGAAGAAGGAAGAAGAGATAAAGGTAGATAGAGGCAGAGATGATTCATCTTATGATGACTTCCAAAGGACTAGAATTAGAGATGTAGATAACTAGACAGCTTGCTATAAAAATATAACATGAAAACTATATATGAATATTCCCTGTAAAAAAGTGAGAGTTCCTCATTTGGCTTAATAAACACAAATCTGTATTCATATTGAATTCCAGAACTTCATCTGTGAATACAAGAAACATAACATTGCCTCAACTGTAGATATTACATGCTTATAAAAGGATTTCATATTTTAAATAAATGCAGGTGTCTGCTCAGAATTATCTTTGCAGCCTCTTTGACATCCGTATTCCTTAGGCTGTAAATGATGGGGTTTAACATTGGTGTTACAATTCCATAAAACAACATGATGATCTCATCAGATATCTTTGTGTCTTTTGACTTGGGCTTCATGTACATAAAAAGGGCAGAACCATAAAATAGAATGACCACAGTCAGGTGGGCTGAACATGTAGAAAAGGCTTTCTTTTTCCCTTGAGCAGAGTTAAGTCTCTGGATGGCAGAGAGAATGAAAACATAAGAAATAAAAATTGATAGTAGAGGAATAATCAGTATAACAATACCTCCCACTCTCAAGGTAAGCATATTAAGGGTGATATCTGCACATATGAGTTTAAGAACAGCCAGCAATTCACAAGTTAGATGGTCAATGATATTATTCCCACAGAAAGGCAATATCATTGTCATGACTGTATGCGCTATAGAGTCCCCACAGCCTGTGATCCAGGACCACGCAGCCATGTGTACATATCGTACCTTGTTCATGATGATGGGATACCTCAGTGGATTGCAGATGGCCACATATCGGTCATAGGCCATCACAGCAAGGAGGATACACTCAGTGCAACCCAAGCCAAGGGAGATAACCATCTGTAGAGCACAGCCAAGGAAGGAAATGGAAGTTCTTCCAGCCCTAAATATAATGAGCATTGAAGGAACAAAAGAGGAAGTGTAACAGATGTCCAAGAATGAGAGGTTTCCAAGAAAGAAGTACATGGGAGTGTGGAGGCGAGAATCCAGGACACTTATGATAATAAGGAGGCTATTTCCCAGAAGGATTATAAGGTACATGATGATGCAGAGCATGAACAAAGTTTGCTGGAGTTCTGGGTATCTGGAAAGTCCCACCAGAAAGAATTCGGTCACAGCAGAGAAATTCTCTGTCTTCATGTGTTTGTCCCCTGCAGATTTTATATACGGAGATGACTTGGGGAAATTTAAATTTATTGGTTAGTTCTAGAAGTTACTTTAACTTGCATTATATCATTTAGCTTTTAGAATAGCTCTGTAAATCAGGAAATGCAAGGATATAATTTTAAGCCTATTGAGAATAAAACTGAAGTACTTAGGGATTTAATTATTTGTAGGACCGCACTAGCAGAGACCAGGCTACCAATAATCCCAGAATTTTATCATGAAATGTCAGACCTCTTGTAAAATAACAGATTAGAACAGCATAATTCCAAATGTGCATATACATAAATCTCATTATTAATGAATATTATTGAAGCAAAAGGTGTTTTCTAATAAAGTTAGTTCTATTTAAAAATAATTTATACCATTAGCCCATATAATTTAGTTTATAAGTGACTTTAGGTAAGTTACTTAACTTTCTCAGTTTCAGTTAGCTTATGTAAAAAACAATATGGTGAAGAAAGAACTCTTTGGCAATTTGTTGTATTAAATTAGATAAGTATCTAAGGTACTCATGCTGTGTTTAAAATATTTTATTCATAATTATATTTAAAATTATATTTTTTAATTATATAATTAGTAGATCTCTCCACAAGCCTCAGAAAGAAAAAGATTCTTACATTCTCAGTCCATATTTATTTACATAGGGCTAGTTCTATTTGGATTGATGACAAGCATGAAACACAGATATGTTAATGAAAAGTAAGCATTTCCCCAGTAACAGAATGATTATTTAGAGTTGCATGTGACCTAGCAATTTTTACAATAATAATTACAGTAATGTTTCCTGATAGTAAATGAAAAATGTATTGCTCTTTAAAATATTCTGTTTTTTCTTTTGAGAGAGAAAGAGAGAGAGAGACCCTCAACAAGATCTTGTCACACTGCTACTTCCCTCTGTCCTGCACCTCTGCCTTGCAGCCAGCCAGGATCATAGGTGTGTGTGGTCTTTAGATCTACCAGTATCTAAATCCAGAAGCTTCCCTTGTGGCTCCAGCATTGTACAGAATTAGCCTACCTGCTATGACTGGGGCAAGAATAATTATTTCTTCAAGGTTCTCTAAATTGGTAGAATATGTGGTTTCTCCTGGCCATCTGTTTTTTTTTTTAGAGGCTTTTATTATAGGGCACATGCACTCACCAGAAAGACAGAGACAGAGAGATAGAAAGTGAGAAATCACCCCCCAATGGGCAATGGCCATGCCACAATCCTGTCTCCTCCATTCTTTCGGGATCTTGGGCATGCACACACATGCACCCGGCATGAGTTTAAGACACTGGTTCTGAGACTCGAACTGTGATCGACTATATGAGAGTCCAGCAACATAGCCATTACGCCAACTACTGATCCCCTCCTGGCCATCTCTGCCAGTTCATGGGAGAACCAGATTGAGAAAGAAATCACCACAGTAGAAAGGATAGCTGAAGGAGAATAATAGAATATTCTTGATGTTATTTTAACTCCTAGATCAAACTGGCTCTAAAGACATTTGAGCTTGCACTTTTCAGTCATGTGAGTCAATATAGTTCCTTTTAAGAAAATATTTTGAGTTGATTTCCATTGCTTACAACTATATAAATCCTGAACAATGTATTTTCTAAGCTACTCTCTTTCTCTCCATTGCTAGCTCCCAGTTTTAATTTTTCCTGAGTAATTTAATTTTCCTAATGTGTTATGAGCCTCTTCCTTCCTTCCTATTTTGTGACAGATTCCATATTCCTGAATGTCACTGCTTATTTCTACTTACATTGGCACGTAAATCTGTTTCCTCAAAGCGTGAATTGAGGCACTTTTGAAATGTTTGTGCACAGCTATTTTGACTTTGGAGGAGAAGGAAGGGAAGAGGTGGAGAAGAAGAAAAGAACACCCTTTTTTGTTGTTCTCAGAGAGCTACAGTTAGCTTTTGTACCTCGATAGAGTGGACTTTAAAGAGAAAATGATGAAGAAACAGGGGCTCCATTTTCTGGGCACTTAATATCTCATCCTAATTCCTCAGTTACCTAGTTTCTCCTATTATTTCTAAAGCAGGGTTATTCTTCACAATACTTTGGAGATCTCCAGTACTTGTCCAAAAGAATAAGCCCTTGTGGGTTTCCAAAGGAAATAATACTGAGTAAGATAAGACAAGTAAGGCGATGGGAAAAACCAAAAGGTCTCTTTTTCCGCATGGCCTTAAGAACTTTTCACTTTTCTTACTAAGATTTCTGTGTGTAAACCAAGTACGATTTTTTGTTGCTAGAAACACAGAAAAAGCTTTTAGCTCTTTTCAGTAAGAACTTGTATCTGAGTACCTTGATGACTAATGAGATTGATTCATTCAGCCCATGCTGCATTCTCTGACCATCTGTAAGCTTTTGCTGGGGTTGGGGGGAGGGTTTCTTTGCCAGTCTTCTCACCCCTGTATCCTGAGTGCTGATAAGGCTTGTTTATGAAAAATGCTGTGTTCTAATGAATACAGAGGATCCAGAGTTCAATCCTGGCTCTGTGATTTATTAGATGTAGAGCCCTTGAGCAAGATATTGGACCTTGATCAATAAGATGTGTCACCTGCAATAGTAACATAATAGTACTTATTTTATAGACTCATGAAGACTAATATGACATAGGTGGCAGTTCTGGCCACAGAACAAGTGTACAACACCTCTCGATTTAATCTGGACTCTCAGACATTCCCCCTTCCCCATTTTTAACCTCAAGGACGAATGAATAATCTAAAATGATTATGGGGGTAATTGGCAAAATAGGACACACTACAAAGCTGGCCCACAATTAGAGGTTTCTAGTTCAAGTCTAGGGTCCTCTTTGACTATGCTGGGCACACTCTTACCCATAATCTGAGAGTGGCTGAGGCTGGGTTTGGATCAGAGCATCAGTACTCTGTTGGGGATACTGTTTCTCTCTCTCTCTCTCTCTCTCTCTCTCTCTATTACCCTCAAGGTAGAAATAAATAAACAAACCTAAAAGAAAATGATTATCAGAGCTATCCAAGATCCTTCCTTGGCTTAATGTTTTCTTTTTGTCTGTATTTCTTTAATTGTTTTATTTAGAAATTTTCACTTAAAAAGACAAAGTAACTTTAACAAACTAGAAGAGACAAAACAAATAGCAATTATATACAGTATGTGTAATTCTGAATAAGATTCTAGCACATAAAAAGACATTGCTAGAAAATTGATGACATTTAGATACCTTTGTGGTATAATTATTAATGTGGCAGTTTTAATTTCTTATTCTTAAAAATTTTACTGTGGCTATGTAAGATGTTAGCATAAGAAGTGGGATGAGCTATAAGGGAACTCTTTTTTTTTTTTTGGGAGAGATTTTCACTGTAGGGCGCGTGCACTCGCCAGACAGACAGAGAGAGACATAGAGACAGAAAGTGAGAAATCACCCCCCAGGGGGGATGGTCACGCCGCAATCCCTTCTCCTCCATTCTCCTCTCGGGATCTTGGGCACACACGCACGCACACGCGCCCGGTGTGAGTTTTAAGCCACTGGGTCCGGGACACGAACCGCGGTCGACTACGTGGGAGTCCAGTGACATAGCCATTATGCTAACTGCTGGTTCCCAGGGAACTCTTCAGACATCTTTTGCAGCCTTTCTGAAAGTTTCAAATCAGTTTGAAATAAAACATTTAAAAATAATGTATTCCAAAATTTATGATTTCTATTTTGCATTTTTTTCTGCCACAAATCTTTACAACTCTGCCTCAAAACTTCCAATTCAATTCTCAGTGTAAGATTCTTACCTTTTGTGCAATCGACCAGTAGAAGGTATTGTTGGGACTTCAGTTTCTAAAAAAAGGATGTATTGTAATTTTAGAAACAGCACATTTTTTTTCTATATATTATTCAATTTGCCAGTATTTTACTAACTTCTTTGTATCCAGATACTAAACTCTTTACGGTTGTACTTCCTCTTTCTAATTTATATTTTAGCTGCTTTTTATGTAAATTTTTGACCTGTTGCTATGCTCTGGGATCCGATATTTAATAATCCCACTACTCCATTATTATGAGAATAACAACTGGACCAGATCAAAGGTAAGGCTGTCATTCCTCCTGGAATGTTTCGCACGGATTTGTATAATAGTAATCACCGCAAGTGAACTCTCAACTCTGGGCCCTAAAAATTTCCAGAGAATTTATCAGTGGCTTGGGTAGCCAATTTAAACCTTCTTTGCTTTCTTCACAGGGACTCTCTAATCCCAAAAGTGATTTAAGATGGTGTCTTTAAACTGTGTGAAGGTAGTAGTTCCTAAGGCTTTACAGATAATGTCCAAAAGATCTAATTACACCTAACTTATTAAGTAACAATTTATTTTTAAATAAATTTAAATTTCCTGATTAAATAAACAATATATACTTATAGCAGAGCATCTGGAAAATTAAAACAAAATCCAAATGAAGAAATTAAATTCATCCATAATTTAATGTACAGTAATTACTATTATTTTAATATATTCATATATGTATAACACATGATAGGCAAAAAAGAAAAAAAAACAGTTTACTTCTATGATAGTTTCACCAGAGAGCACAGTCAACACTCCACTTCTAAGCCAGATACTGGGTTTTCTTCCCATACCAGGTAATTCACTGATACCACCTGGGTGTTCTATTATTTAATTATTTCTGACTCTATGTACTTAGAACTGGCCTCGGATCTTAAAGGTTAAGAACTCTGTTCCACAAGACTGTCCTCTGAATCAGATACTAAATTACATGTCTGGGCCTCAGGTATTTTTGATAGCTTGATTGCTTGAGGTTCTCACAGCCTTTTTGAGTTTTTTTTCATGGGCTAGAATGCCTCACAGAACTCTTAGAGACAGAGTATTTATGTTTACTTGAGGTCGTTATAAAAAGATTTAACGCAGGAAGAGCCAGTTGGAAGAGATGTACAGGGCATGGTATGGGACATGAGGGGAAGGTCCATGTGCTTCCACACTCTGTTAGTTTGTCCTGTTACTAAGAGCAGAAAGATCTGAGTCTGCATAATTTATGAAAATGAGGTTTAGTCAGCTCACAGTTTAAGGGTCCATGGTTAGAGGGCTGATGGTCTTCCTGTTGGTGGATAACATGGTAGAGACATGAGCTTGAGCTGAGTAGAGCATGTTTCTGTTTATTTCACTGTAGGCAGTATATAAAAAAAGCATAGGTAGACTGAAAGAAGGAAAGAAGAAAGAATATTAGCTAGAGAGCTTGGAACCCAGAAAAACACAGGGTTCTCTGTTTCTTTTTATCTTCTATATGTCCTAGACTGAGTGCTAGGTAAGCCCTGCTTGGAAATACCAATGGGAACATACATGAAAAAACACTTAGAAAATTTTTATGTCTTTAGGCAAAGGAGTGCCCTATCAAGACAGAAAATTTATTGGTAATAATTATCCTACTCCAGACAAACAGAGGGAAGAGTGCCGCAGCCCTCTTGTCCCCCTAAACAGAATAGACCAAAA